ACACACACAGACGGGGTCGTCTCAATATGCGTTTTTGCAATTTACATATAGGCAAAAACGCATAAAAAGCAAATTTGAAGGAAGTCGGGAGAGGACTATGAATCTGCAATACACACGCTTTTGACTACGCGATAAAATTGAGTATTTGTTATGTCTGCGTCAGAGAAGCTGTGTTGCCAGGGCTGAACCTGGAGCATAAAGCCGGTAGTGTAACTGGAACACGTCGTGTGCGGATATGGAAAAGAGCGGCTCGATTTCCTTTCAGTCTATTCACGATACCACATTTTCGATGTATGTGTGGCCCTTGGAGCCTCCAGTCTGGTCGTTTACTTTCGAGCACCAGTCACTGAGATGCAGCATGCCTGCCAACGAATTTTGCTTCTTTGCGTGGTCACAATTTTATCCTGCACATTGCTCATTTGACGAAGAGTTTCATTATTTATATTGCCGCGATGAGACACTCTAAGCATTTTTTTCCGCTTCGCTGCCCCCTTCGCCAAAGTCAGCTCTCGCTCTTTAACTTCCATTTGTGATCTCGTTTCGCAGTGGAAAATATTAACAAACAGGAAATTGCTTCTGCGAGTGCATTTTCTCTGGTACAGCCAAGAATGTCTTCAAAAAATCTTAGGCAGAGTTTTACTTGCAAGGAAAAATATCTGGCAATATATTTTTAGGAAGATCATATCGATCCGAATACAACTGAAACTTATAAGGGTGAATGGAAAAACGATAAGCGGTGCGGATTTGGTGTTGGTGAACGAAGTGATGGTTTGAAATATGAGGGCGAGTGGTTCAACAATCGAAAATGCGGTTACGGCATCACTACCTTCAAAGATGGCAGGTAAACTTACTGACGGTGTAAAAAAAAAAATCACTGCGTTACGGAACTTCAAGGATTCTGTTGCTACATTTTTTATGAAAGTACAGATTGAGAGATTTGCCGAACTAGAACTTGTGGTCAAAAATCAAAACGTGTAAACTTGCGGACAAAAATCAAGACACGCCCAGAGAACCTTGGTTACAGTCATTGACTGCGCTTCTAAAATTCCAGCTTTTACAGTTATGGGTGCAGGCACACGTATTTTGCCACAGTGCATTTTACAGTATTTATTCTAACAATTTGATTAGTTCTAATTCATTCTCTGATTTTTCCAA